TAACTGCCAGCACTGCCCCCCTCCTAACTGCCAGCACTGCCCCCCTGTCCTGATATCATGTCATTGCATTAGATATAAACCCAGCGCTATCTGAGCCTGTCCTGATATGTCATTACATTAGATATAAACCCAGCGCTGTCTGAGCCTGTCCTGATATCCTGTCATTACATTAGATATAAACCCAGCGCTGTCCGAGCCTGTCCTGATATGTCATTACATTAGAAATAAACCCAGCTCTGTCTGAGCCTGTCCTGATATCATGTCATTGCATTAGATATAAACCCAGTGCTGCCTGAGCCTGTCCTGATATCATGTCATTACATTAGATATAAACCCAGCGCTGTCTGAGCCTGTCCTGATATCATGTCATTACATTAGATATAAACCCAGCGCTGTCTGAGCCTGTCCTGATATCATGTCATTACATTAAATATAAACCCAGCTCTGTCTGAGCCTGTCCTGATATCATGTCATTACATTAGATATAAACCCAGCGCTGTCTGAGCCTGTCCTGATATCATGTCATTACATTAGATATAAACCCAGCGCTGTCTGAGCCTGTCCTGATATGTCATTACATTAAATATAAACCCAGCTCTGTCTGAGCCTGTCCTGATATCATGTCATTACATTAGATATAAACCCAGCGCTGTCTGAGCCTGTCCTGATATCATGTCATTACATTAGATATAAACCCAGCGCTGTCTGAGCCTGTCCTGATATGTCATTACATTAGAAATAAACCCAGCGCTGTCCTCGTGTCTTGCTTGAAACTCCAGACTGCCTAATGTCAATTCTGTGCATATTTTACTTCTGTTCTCAGTGCTCACTGCACGCTGGTGACAGACTTTCTCTGCAAGGGAGGTTTGTGTCCTTTCCTACTTTCCTCTCTCCATTACTGCAGCCCTACCGCCTCCCTGTGCCCTTTGATAATTTTTTTTCTCCCGCCCGCCTTTTACCCCTCTGTTCCTTTAACCCTCCCTTAGCCGACTCAGAGCGTGCGCATGCACTCTGAGCCAGTTAAATCGTCAAGTCAAAGGCTTCTCTGTGAGAAATCTGCGATAGGACTCCCCCACGGCTCTTGTGACTCCACATGGGGGGCCGTGCCGAGCACCACAGGATTAATATTAATATTAAGTACAGCTTATTGTAAAACTTCTTTTCAGTGTGTTTTTGGTGGACATAAAGATTAATGCCCAGTATGCGATATTCAAAGAAACTCCTTTAAATATCCTGATTTCATTGCTCTCCCTTGTACACCCCATAGATCTCTTCCTACCTTACTTTGCAGGGTGACTGGATATGGAATACAATGACAAACTGGCTCGGTTCCGTCAGAGTCATCTTAACCCTTTTAATAAACCGAGGGACGAGAAATCCTCCCGGGAGGACAGAGACGATTTGGCGTCCAAGGGTTAGTGTCAGAGGCATGGAGGTGAATGAACCTTATAGTTAAGTGCCATATATACAGTCCACCATTAGAATGGGCTCCAAAGCAGTCTATATCTCGATTGAGCCCCTCAGGGAGATTCTTCGTCCACTATTACTATTTTCAACTCTTCCCTCTTTCCATACTCAGATTCACCTCCAGGCTCTCCGCGTTGTGAACCAGAATTCCACTGCCCGGAACGCGTCATGGATCTTGGCGTATCGGAGGATCATTTCTCGCGACCTGTGGTGAGCATGGACTCCATTCTATATTATTGCTGTTGATCCAAAGGAAGAGGAGAAATCCATTTTGAAGTGATTACCAGTTTTGCCACAAATTGGGGGGAACGTCCTTTCTGATTGCAAAATGTAGGTGGAAGGTCCTCATCATATGGATAACATGTTAAATTGTACCTGTCATGGTTCACACAAGTTATTACATTCTATCTATACATTGTGCTTGCAGAAATACGAGCAAATGTGTAGATTTTTAATTTAAAGCTCTTTAAAAGTTTGGTCCTTCCATCACCTGTCAATCAAATTCTCAGCATTACGACTGTGTGATGGTGGCTCACCATTTGTAGTGCCGACGAGTGAGTGACAGGGAGAGCAGGAGAACCCTCCCCTGCTTTGTTCTCTTGACGGAGGGAGGTATGGGACGCATTGACACTAATGTACTGATAATTAGCAAGCATGTTAGCGTCAGCACAGAGGATTGCCCTGTTTGGGAAAGTATCTCACTGCAGGGTCATATACAGCAGACAGCTCCTGTTACTTCCTGGTTTGATTGGCTCACTGGAGCTAAACTCAAGAGGCAGCAATTGCTCAGAGCACCTGCCTTGCAAAGACTTCTCACTGAGCTGCATTAGGAAGTCTGTGATTGGACAGCCACAGAAAGTGTGGGAGGGTTTAGAAGGGGAGGGTTATCAAGGGCTGCAGACAAGAGAAATGCAGGTTTTGCAAGTTGTTTTTAGATATATAAATGTATTTGTCTTTTTTAAATATATAAATATGTCACACGTATATACATATACCTTTTAAAATCATACTGATTCATACCAGTCCACTGATCTTTTATCATCCTTCATTTGGCCAATAAAGAAAGATTTAGGCAATGTAATGAAATAAAGGTAAGTAACCATTTTGAGGTGGTTGTATTTGAATTTGGGGTTGCTGATGTGATAGTGATTGTTTTCAGCGTTTTAATTCTGACCAGTCATACGTTGTGCGCCTATTGCAGGGTCTCTTCCTGGCGTCTGACATTCAGCAGCTGCGTCAGGCTATAGAGGAATGTAAACAGGTCATCCTGGAGCTGCCGGAGAACTCTGACCAGCAGAAGGACGCAGTGATCAGACTCATCCACCTCCGGCTCAAGCTGCAGGAACTGAAAGTGAGTATCGGGAGTAAGGGCCAAGCAGAGACCCGTCTATTCCTTGATTTACTGCTTCCCGTCCCTCCTTGACCTCGTGCTCTCTGTCCTAGGATCCCCACGAAAATGAACCCAACCTGCGGATATTGCTGGAGCACCGATTCTACAAAGAAAAGAGCAAAAGTGTGAAACAAGTGTGTGATAAGTGCAACACCTTTATCTGGGGCTTGATCCATACCTGGTACACCTGCACAGGTGAGCTCTGCGCTCCCACACCTCATGAACATATGTAACGTGGACATTGTTAGGTCCATCTCCACGTTACAGCAGTCAATCCACTGAGGTTAGTCGTTCCTATCCAGCAGTTATTGCTGTGGCTGCTAGAGGACTGTGGGATTTGCAGTCGACCTAAAGCTGAAAGTTTATTGAACTAATAGAATTGCCCCAAATCCCACTTCTACTCTTACGGTTACATTGTAGTTGATATCCGTGCTTGAAGTCAGGTGGCCTGGCTAATGAGGTTGTGGTGTGTCAGTGAGTTAACCCAGATAGTTAGCCTTTTTTCCGTTGACATGCCTTTCAGATGAACCCCTGGATTTACCTTGAAGGGAAATACATCCGCCCCTTCCTCACCCCCATATGCTCAGCTGCTGCTGCTAGGAATGAACTCATACATGCACCGTATACCAGTGAGGTTCTCCATTCACTTACTGTAGTGTGTGTGTGAGAGTGCTTCCAGTTTAATTGTACAGGGAAGGCATCGTCTTACATGACAGAGCAGGTCCATGCTCACACTATCACCCACACAGACTTCTGTCATGTTCCCAAATTAGTCAGAATTTCTGCAGACTGACCAGTGTTTTTCCATTTTCACAGGGTGTTACTATCGCTGTCATAGCAAATGCCTAAATCTTATCACTAAACCCTGCGTTAGGTCGAAGGTCAGCCATCAGTCTGAGTACGAGTTATCCATCTGCCCAGAGACGGGGCTGGACAGCCAGGATTACCGCTGTGCAGAATGCCGAGCACCCATCGCTTTACGTGAGTCACTTACTGGCCATCAACATTTTCTGGCTGCACAGAACATCGATTTCCATAGATCTGTCTGTTTCAGGTGGTGTGACCTTCTTTTATTTTGTTTGGACACAGGGGCGGCACCAAACGAAGCTCGGCAATGCGATTACACTGGCCAATATTACTGCAGCAACTGCCATTGGAATGATCTTGCTGTCATCCCTGCCCGAGTCATTCACAACTGGGACTTTGAGCCACGCAAGGTAACCTGGCTGAGGATAATAAGACTTGTGATTCTCAATCCAGTTCTTACTCCTTAGGGTTTAGCCATTAACTGTTTCCATTCCAGTGGGGGTAACAATTTGGTCTGAGCTATGGACTGAGAAGCTCAGCAGGCAGTGGGATACAGCATGCCCCCCTTACGGTTGCTTCCTGAAATGTTTATATCGTTTTATACAATTTAATGGTGACCCGTAGGTATTGTCACAAATCAGTCACCGCCATTGTCTCTCTCCTGTGCAGGTTTCCCGCTGCAGTATGCGTTATCTCGCCCTCATGGTGAGCCGGCCTGTCCTCAAACTACGAGAAGTCAACCCTCTGCTGTTTAACTATGTGGAGGAACTGGTGGAGATAAGGGTGAGATGTTACTTCTCCTTACAACACAATAGATTTTATTTCCCCTGCGCTTAGTAAGTTCACTGAACAGTCTGCTGGTGTAAGTTGGCCAAGATTTGAAAAAACCCTGCAATTTATCTGCCCAACTCTGATTTTACTAAGACTAAACGTGGCCACAGGTGGTCAGCTTTCCTCATCTCCCTGTCTGCCTTTACCAATTCTCTCTGTGTATTCTTAATACTGTGAAACCCTGGAGAGTCGTACATGGTGCCTCTGGGAGAGGCTGTTTTTATTTATTCATTTTAAAGGTGTTACTTGTTTAATTTTGTATTTGATCGCCTGATCTTTATTCTAATGCTCACTATGTCATCCGGTAGAAATTGCGGCAAGACATTCTTGTTATGAAGCCTTACTTTATCACATGCAAAGAAGCAATGGAGGCTCGGCTACTGCTGCAGGTACGTGGAGAGAGCAGGGGGGCAAATTAATTAGCAAATCTAATTGTCTATCCTGGAAGTGGTACTCTATGAAATAAAAATACGAGGAGAATTGCTATGTAGGTTCTCTGTGGCGACTCTGTGGGATTATGGTCTTTGTACCCATACTCACCCGGACTGTTTCTGCAGCTTCAGGATCGACAGCACTTCGTGGAGAACGATGACATGTACTCCCTGCAGGATCTCCTGGACATGAGCAGCGGCCGTTTGAGTCTTTCTCTCACAGAGATCCACACCATGTTTGCCAAGCACATCAAGCTGGACTGTGAGGTGAGGCGTCTAGGAGTGATTATGGCTAGGTTGTAGTTAATGAATGTAAGGGTGCAGAGTAGTGAAATGTGATTGGTTGGTAGATGCACTGAGATGTTTGTAATTCTCTACTTGTCTTTCAGCGATGTCAGGCCAAAGGCTTTGTGTGTGAACTGTGCAAGGAAGGAGACGTACTTTTTCCATTCGATAGTCACACGTCTGTCTGCCAGGACTGTGCTGCTGTGTTCCACAGGTACGGCCGCGGCAGACTGTATGCTGCGTGGGTAAAATGATGGCGCCCCTGATATTTGCTGGTACAGGCCTGGTCCCTCCACAACCGTCTCTGAGATTAGAAGAGGTCATCTTCCGATGATTATTTCTGTAAAATAGGTGGCAGTCAGTCATCCAGTTTAAACAATAAAATATTAATGAAAAAAGAGAAAATCTTCAGCATACTGAATCCACTTTAAAAAAATGACGGTGTGGCTCAGAACTTGCTATAAAATCACATTTCCAGTAATTAACAGTTGAGTATGGTATTCGTTTCAGGGAAAACGCTAGAGTTGTGTAATTCTCTACCTAAACGGATAAATCATTAGATTTGCTAAACAGGCTGTTTAGAGTGGTAATAGTTAAAATGGACATTAACCCCTTAAGGACACATGACATGTGTGACATGTCATGATTCCCTTTTATTCCAGAAGTTTGGTCCTTAAGGAGTTAAAGGGTTACTTTAAACACCATTCCCACTTACTGGTTTGAGGTGGTCCTAGTGCTTTGAGTCTGTATGTGCCGAGTTCCATTTTAAAACACTGCACGTACTGGGAAAATGCCCTTTCCTGAGGAGTAGCGAATGTAAAATATATTGTCTGCCCACATAGCATGCTGGCGACACACACCCCACCCCCCTCGGTCCCTGCTGCCCATGTCCTCCCTCAATACTTCCCTTACTCCACAGTGGTAACTTGGCCTTACCTTAGAATTGCAGGAAACTTTTCGTTTTTTTTTTTGTTTTTTTTTCAAATTTATTTTTTCTTTTTAGTAGGGGGAGGAATGCCAGCAAGGGATACTCCATTTTTGTTTTATTAAAACGGTTGATTTGGCTGCAGTAAACCTGGGAGATAGCCCATTGCCAGTTGGGGAGAGGGGGGACATTGTATTTCCTTTTTGGAGAACCGCTGGAAATTTTTCTAAAAATTTTTTTTCATTTTATCTTAAACACAGTAACAGGGATGTGTGAACAGCTAAATCTGATGGACTCCAGCCATTTCTTTCAATGTGTAGCATGTGAAATCTTCCACCTGAAACACGTTGTAAATAAAGTCTGTCTATCTTTCCTGCAGAGACTGCTATTATGATAACTCCACGAGCTGCCCCCGGTGCATGAGGCTCAATCTCCGAAAGCAGGAACAGGGTCCTGGAGAGGAGTCGTGGCAGTGAATGACACTTTATCTGTGACACACAGAGACAGCTTAATTTCTCCGGAAATGTCTGTGCTTGCCAGTGGCGTGTACAGCTCTTATTACCGCTGTCATCTAGACGCAGTACATGGCGGTTTGAGCCTCGCAAAAAGATTTGTACATACAGACATGAAGAGACTGCTGAATGTGCTACGTTTTACACCTCAAGCCGCCCATTATATGTGCCTGGGATGACAGCAATGCATTCTGGACTAACGCACAATGGTCGCCTGCCAAGCCTCGCACCCAGTTTTGCACATTATTAAGGAGATGTCAGGCTTTCTCCAACTGTATCAAAGACTGGGCATTGCAGGTGGTCCTCTCCTGCACACGTCTTGAGGTGCCTTAAATACCCGTCATTGGATGTTCTGGATGTTTTATACTCTGTCGAAACAGATTAGAACAAAGGTGGGCAATTGGTAGCCCGTGGTTGTTCTAGAACCATCTCCCATGGCTGTAATGTATAATGGGTGGCGTTGGTCGATGATTTTGAGCATCCTGGGGGGTGCAGGATGATGTGGCTTTGCAACACTTATGATACAATAAGTTGACTGTCCCTGGCTGAGATTTACTAAGAACCCCAGATTCTGGACTTTGGTACTCTTGGTGACTGTGTAACATGTATATACTCTTTGGGTATCTGCTTAGTTAAAAGAGAGCATTAGCAATATTTTAAGCACTTAATGTGACAGTCTAGGGTGTGTTTGAATTCCCCCTTTTAATGCATTTTAGAGATAATGTATTACAATATTGAAAAAACAAATCCTGAAAATTAAAATACCTTTTGAATATTATATATTTGCAGAAGATCCGTAGTACCTGTTGCATCGGCAATGAGCCATGCAGAGAACAGGAAGAGGCTGCAATATTTTCACCAATCCTGGTTTCCATATTTATTTATGCTTTGAGAGAGCGAAGCATCTTCCTGTGCATTCAATCTTTATGGGAAATATAGTTCAGCTCTCTGATTTCCTTTTGGGAAATTTGCAATGTGGAGCAGTTCTTGCCAGACGTTTCATTCATAAAGCTATAGGATTGTAGTCACCTGATGTTACGTGAAGCATGTGAATGCTATAAACACCCGTCCCCCAGGAAAATAACACGTTGCTATAGATTGTCTTGCAGTCACTAGTTGAGGTTGTGTTAGTGTTCTGATCTCAGTAGCAGTGCTACACGGAATCTATTGGCAGATATGAAATGTATCTGAAAGACTGCTACTAATTATCAATGAAGACTCTAACTGTAGGGATAATTGTACCAAATATTAAAATATGTCTGACATAACCCTCTGTTCAAGAGGTGATCTACTTCCCATATGGTCAGTATTAATCATGCTCCTTGCAGGTACACGTTGATTATTTCACTAAAACAGTATAAGAACATTCATTTATGCAGAGGAGAAATTAATTGTGTTAATTTGAGATAATTTGACTTAAAGGACAACAGTTGTTAAATTTTCACTTTTTTTTTTTTTTAAAGTTAATTGAAAATTAATTATATTCTTTAAATTTTGTATGTTGATGATTTTGTATTTAGTTTTTAATAAGCTTATACTTTTTATCTGGCCAAGCGACCATATTGGATCAGACTCTAGTGCCACTCCACCTAACTTGCTGCTGCTGCAGGTTCACACAGTGCAATCACAGCCGCCGCAGCAAGTTAGCTTGAGCAGCAGTTGGTCAGATAACTGTAGAGTCTGACCCAATATGGCCGCTCAGCCAGTTAAAAAGTGACATTTTCTAAAAAATAAATTACAGAAGTTTAAAAAATGTCATTTACATTTCAATAAATGTAACAAATGTTGTCCTTAAACTTGTCCTTTAAGATGCTAAAAATGGAAGTACTCAGCAGGCAGATCTTATGGTAGAATTATGTCTCTCAATATCCTCTGCTAATGTTTGTTGGGACTCGGGATGATGGGAGTTAAAGATGTAAATAGCTGCTTTTTTCCTAACACTGGGGGGGGAACCTGAAACTAATAATTAAGCAGACAATGGACAATGGATTTCTGAAATCATCCGCAGGCTTCACTAGATGAGAAGTAAAGTTATTTTGATGATAAATGTGGAAGTTACAAAGTTCTTCCTTTTAATTTCATCTATTTGTATCTTGTGAAAGTAAATATCAGATAAATTGATGTTTGGTAAAGAGGCACCAAGAGAAAAGGACCCACGTCTGTTATTCTGAAACAACGTATTTTGCGTCTCGCCCACAGACTGTAAATGATGGCTTTATAGTTTATTGATTTGCCTTCTCAGCTGATTTGCGATGGGTTTATTCCCTATTCAGGCGTTTTCACAGCCAGAGCTGGGTCACAGAATTAGAGATTTTTACCACCGTTGCTAGTTTGACCAAAATAGTGAAATGTCATTGTGAATAAACCCAGTAAATATTCTACTTATTGCTCCTATTAGAATCTTTCTTTGCACTTTATGTAGTATTCCCTGAATTAGAGATTACTATTGCTTTTTAGCCTTTGAAATGCTATTAAGGGAGCGCAAACACCGAGTTGCAAACCGATTATCTTTAGACAGGTCGAGAGTGGGGGGATTTACCTACAGGGATGTCACATAGCTTTATAAAGAGCTCATTCATTAATAACTTTTAATTCATAAAGTCTAGCCGGTCATAATGTCCTCTGTTGGCTTATTTTTTTTAATGCTTTTTAATTTTAACAATGTCAGGTATTATGACTGTCATTTAAATAGTGTTTACTATGAAGCCAATACTTAGACCATCAGGGAATACAGAACTTCAAATCCCACAATAATTAGAGTCGATTCACAAAGCCTATTTTGGACTACACCTCCCATGATGCTTTGTCAGCATTATGGGGGATGTAGTCTACAACATCTGGAGTGCCAGAGGTTGCCTACCCCTGCTCTATAGTTTGGTCATGATTGCCCTGGGAGTGGTCGCTGAAACCAGACACAATCTTGTCTTTGCAACATGGATCCAGCTTACTCGGCTGTCTTGTTTGTCTCTAAGGAAAGCTCTTAAGCCCAGACCCCACTTTGTGTCAGGAAAACCAGTTAGAAATCGAGCAAGTTTGGCATGAGACGAGTGTATTATTTCAGCAATCCTGACCTGATTTTTTAATTTGTTTTCCCCCATGGGATGAAAATTGTGGGTGTTGTTTTTTTTTTTGTTTTTTTTTTTTCATTGCTCGAACTATATAGTATACTACTGCCAATGCGCAGATCAAGGCTTATTGTAAATACTGGACAAAAAGTACTTCAACTCCTGAGATAATGAGAGAATCGCTATTGTTAAATGTACATGTGTCTTGGGAATTATATGCAGTGTCATGACTTAGGTCTTAAATTCTGGACAACAAGTCAACCCTTTATTTATAATTGCTTATTTATAATGTAACATGAGACCTGTGTACATATTATTTCATGTAATAAATGTATTGTTTTTATTGCCTTATTAAACTACAAATAAAGTTGCTGAAATTAAAATGATTAATATTTTGTTGTTTAAGGGTTGGGGAAGGATCAATGCTAAAATAAAATTTAAAAAAAGCTTTAACCCCTCAGGACCAAAGAGATGTTATGGCTGTTATAATAAAAAAGGGAATTGTTTAAGTTGTTCCTGAAGATTTTAAAAGTGGTTGGATTGGGATATTCACACTAAACCTGAGCTTACGGAGATCTCTGGGGCTGTGTCAGAATGTAAATTCCTTTTTTCAAACTCCTAAATGGTAGCTGAATTCCAACTTTGGCCTAGATTTAATATTTTTGGATAAGCTCCCCAAATTATTTAATAATTTTGAATGAACTTTAAAGGGACACTATAGTGTGCAGCTTAGTGTATAGTCAGTCCATTCAGTCTTTTTGTAAATACTGTTTTTAGAGAAAGGGCAATGTTTACATTGCAGCCTAGTGGCACCTCTAGTGGCCACTCCTGGTGCTTCCTGGGTCAGTGCTGCAAGTTCTCTTACCTTGTAGGGGGAGCATGCCACCTAAATGGTGTTTTTAACACTCTAGGGTCAGTAATACATTTGTATTCCTGACTCTATAGTGCTTCTTTAAAAAAAAAAATATATATATAAAGATATGAAAAAATATATCATATAAAATAAAATCAATATATAAAAATGTTAAATATATTTCAAAATATTACATTTTAAATGTTTATCCAAAAATATTAAGTTGAACAGCTGGTCTAATTTTATGAAATTGAGGCCTTTATCGACTGGAGTTTTCATATTGTGATCTTGCTCGTAAGTAATGGACTTGACATTTGAACACATAGCATGACCATAGAAAGCTCTGACTGTGCCAAGTGTCCACTCCCAACAGACCGTGCTAACACTGCAGGGACAGGATATAGTTCCCAAAACAACTACATTAAGCTGTATTCTATACAATAAGCTGTGTACCGTACATTATGCTGTATACTATACATTAAGCTGTATACTGTACAGTATTATTATTATTGCCATTTATATAGCGCCAACAGATTCCGTAGCGCTTTACAATATTATGAGAGGGGGGATGTAACTATAAATAGGACAATTACAAGAAAACTTACAGGAAAGATAGGTTGAAGAGAGCCTTGCTCAAACGAGCTTACAGTCTATAGGCGTACAATAAGCTGTATACTATACATTAAGCTGTATTCTATACAATAAGCTGTCTACCGTACATTAAGCTGTATACTATACAATAAGCTGTATACCGTGCATTAAGCTGTATCACTATCTCCATCTACCTATTAACTAATAAACCGAGCCCAATTGAATCAAATTCAACAAAAATCAAGAAAGCGTGAAAGCGATAGGTGAAAGTTCTGTTCAATCCTAGCGAACTCCCTGTGATACAAAGCGGAGTGCGTCAAGTACTCTCCATGCCCCCACTTCATTCTGATTTGAGGAACTCTTAAGTGGGAGGGACTATGATACGGGCGCGGGTATTTACTGCTTAGTAAGGGGCATTTCAATACTTGCCCTGGATGAAGGTGCACTACTGTGGCGTCAAAACACACGTCGGGGGTTTTAAGCGTTCTTGATTTTTTGTTGAATTGGGCTTGGTTTTTATAGATATATGGAAATGGTGATTTGGGCTTAGTTCGTTTAGAATCATGCTGGGGGGATCGGAGTGTTTAGTATTAATTGGTGGGCTGGTTGGGAAGTCCTTTCAGTCTTATTGTTAAGCTCCTATGGGAACCACAGTGAAAGGAGATCATTGGGCGAGAGGAGTTTTTTCCACAGACATACTCTTATTTATTTAACTCAGACCCCTTCGAGGTCTAATAAAATTGTAGGGTATTTACATTCTGAGGCATCTAGAGTGTTCGTTGGAGTCAGCCTAACCCACATTTATCCGTTGACCTGATCTTACGTTTGGGCATTATGAAAAAGTTCTTTACGTTATAAGGGAAGGGTCAGCGATCTACCAATTTTTCTGTTGGCTGTCCTCATTCCTCATCCAGCCAACTCACACTGCTACTTTATTGGTAATGAATGTTAACTTGATGTGATAGTATGTTGCGATATTATTACAATAACTTTTATAGAATTTAGTAGCCTTGACAGGGCTTTTACATCCAAGTACATTCATTCCATTTGTGTCCATATTTAAGTGGCTAATCTTATACCCCTATTTTTTAGATATTTAGTATACATACCCCCTCACATTTATCCTAGCATCTGTCCTTAGTGTGCAGAATATCGAGATGTTCAGTCTCCAGTTACTTACGTCCCTCCCGTGTCAAGAGAACCAGTCCGCTGTGAGATTGTTGATTCCTGGTAAATACTCTGCTCGTAGAGTGATGTTGCGGGGTAAGCAGAATCGGTATATGTCGTTTGTTGCCTCGATAAGGTCCCGGGATCGAGCTGCACCCAAGCGGTTTATGTATTGAATCGCCGATATGTTGCCCATGCGGAGGGATATGCAACAATTTGAGACACCTTTGGCCAGACTGTGAATCGCGAGCGAGCCTACGATCAGTTCCAGACAGTTTATGTAGAGATTTGTCTCCTCTTCGGCCCACGGTCCACCTTTGGAAGTGTGTGCGTAGTGGGTACCCCATCCCTATAGACTTGCGTCTGAGTCTACTATGAAATCCGGCAGAATCGCTCTGCCATTCCACGCCTGCATGTAAAGTAACCACCAGTGGAGTTCGGTCCTAACTTTGGGTGTTACTGGTATCCAATGGTCGTAAGAGTGACCCGTCCATAAATACAGTCAGTTGCATAGCTCTGTAGTGTAGCGGACCTAGAAAAATCGCCTGCATTGATGAGGATAGGAGTACCACTACTCGAACCAGGATTCATAGAGGGATGAAGTCCTTGCGTAGAATATACCTGATTTCTCTGTGAATGACTTTGATTTTTGTGTTGGGTTAGTTGTAACCGCGGCTGGTTCCCTTATTTACCACTATAATGTCTTAAAGCATCGAACTTAGTAGGGCTAACCATACAGATATCTTTGCCATAATTTTATATAGTTAGTGTAAGAGATCCTCTATTTAAAATATATAAATAATTGAGAATACAATATAAAATAAGGATTGTCTTGGAAGCAATAGTTTTGTCTTTTAGATATTTATTATATAAAAATATAAATATAGACATATAAAATCCATTATAGCAGAGTTTATAAGATTAAATTACATGCTTGCAAATATCATTAATAGGTTAACATACCCTTCTGAACATGTCATCATGTCAGCCTCTCTGTCATTTTAAGATGGAGCAGCGTCTGTCTCCAAGTCTCTCCTCTGTGTCTTAACATTTAAAAGTACACCTATTTATACCTTAGGTGTCTCCATTTTAGGGTTACCGTAGTTCATATATGAAAAAGTAACACTTCTTTTACTTTATTCATTTTAGGACCTCCCTTAACTTGGCAAACATACAAGGCCATAACTAAAGGGTGTATACGTCATGGAAATTTTCCTGACTTAGTTCAAGATGGCACCTTAAAGTCTGAACATCCTTATCTACTTAAGGTTAACACAGTATACTGTGTACTGCAAGTGTCGTAGTATAGCCTTGAAGCTTGTTTATGCATTATTGTTATTGTAATTCGTCTGGGACAAAATGGCGCAAACATATTATGCACTGAGGTTATTGCTTAAAGAAACAGTTATGAAAAACAATATGTTCCATTTCTAACACCTTGTCAGTTTGCAATATCTCTTAAAGACAAAGTACACAGTTTAAGAAATACAACATTTCATTCTAAAACTTGTAATATTTGCATTTGCCCGTAACATAGTGAAGGACGTATTTGGTTGAGTCGATCTCGAATCCCAGGAATTGTATCACATGAGAAGGCGTTAGAGCTGATTTCTCCTTGTTCACAATAAATCCCAGTGATTCCAGAAAGTACACAATGAATTCCATTTGATTGTATGCTGTTCCAGTTAGACTGTTAGGAGTGTAAACCTTTCGTATGGTTTTTCCTATTCGGCTGTTTACAGCATTCGTATGTTTGAGAGCATTCGTATGCTTCTCCGGTTCGGTGGATTGGTGTCTACAGTAGCTGCCTGTATATCTGGAAGGGAATATCTCCTAAACGGCTGTTAACCCCTTTTATGCCTTGTGGTGCCGTTACAACATGTTTTAAGTTCCGCGATGAAAGGTTCACCAAATAATAAACCATTTGCCAATGGTCCTAGTTCTCTCTTCCTCAGATCCAAGACCTTATGTTGTTCAGTGCATAGAGCCGCGTTTTGTTACCTAGCATACACATGACTTTCTGAGCCCATTCTCGAATGTTGCGTGAGAGAGCGAGATCTGCATAGTATAGGCAGTGGCGTACACATGACCCATGGGGCCCCGGTGCGAAAATTGATCCGTGGGCCCCCCGCGCGCGCGGGCTGGGCCGCAACACATGGCGGTGGACACCTGGTCGCAGGGGTTACAGGGCTGCGACCCCTGCGACCGCGATATGTACGCCAGTGCATGCAGATGCACACACACTTAAAGGACCACTACAGACACCCAGATCACATCAGCTCAATGAAGTTGTCTGGGTGTCAGGTCCCTCTAGTTTTAACCCTGCGGCTGAAAACATAGCAGTTTCAGAGAAACTGCTATGTTTCACTGAGGGTTAATCCAGCCTCTAGTGGCTGTCTCACTGACAGCCGCTAGAGGAGCACACTGAATGTCCATAGGAAAGCATTAAGTAATGCTTTCCTATGGGCGGTTTGAATGCGTGCGTGGTCGCATTCGGAGCTGAGAGGCTGAGGGATCCCCAGCGCCAAGGGAGTCCGGCGCTGGAGAAAGGTAAGTGCTGAAGACACACACACTCTCACTTACAGACGCATACACACTAGCTAACAGACACACACATTTACTGACAGAGACACACTCAGCGACAGACATACATACTCACTTACAAAACATACACTCTCATTGACAAACACACACTCACTAACAGACATCAAACAGACTCACTAACACACACACACACACACTAAGTAAGACACACACAGTAACACACTCACTGACACTCACTAGCAGACACACACACTAACACTCACACTCACTCTAACACTCACACTAACACTCACTAGCAGACACACACACTAACACTCACACACACTAACACTCACTCTAAAACTCACACACACTAACACTCACTCTAACTCTAACACTCACACACACTCTAACACACACTCACACACACTCACACACACTCTAACACTAACACTCACACATGTTTTTTTTTTTTTTTTTTATTTAATCCCCCCAGCCTCCTTACCTTTTGGAGTGCTGGGGGGATTCCCTGGGGTCCAGAGGTGCTGCTGCTGGGCTCCTGGGCGGGTGGCCGGTCGGGCAGGCAGGCGGGCGCGCGAGGGAGCACTCAGTGCTTCCTCTTCAGCTCCCTCGCGCGCCGCATAGGGATGCCGGCGCCGGAAGATGACGTCATCTTCCGGCTCCGGCATCAGTGCGGTGCGAGGGAAACAAGAGGAAGCTGGAGTGCTCCACGCCAATCAGCAGGGCCACGGGGGGCCCTGGGTGGCCGGCTCCTGGGCCCCCCAGGGGAAGAGGCTGGCCCTGTGGCTACATACCGGGTCGCAGGGGCGGCCGGGCCCCCTGGTGGGCCGGGCCCGGTCGCAGCCGCGACCCCTGCGACCCTGGTATGTACGCCACTGAGTATAGGATCTTTGCAAGTGGACCCAACATGTCCAGGAGTTTCTCCTGTGTAGCCTTCAGCCCTTTTTATATGCCTTTACGAGGGTCTCGTCCCATCTGTGCCATGAAGACCACTATTGTGGTATTAAACTCCAGGGTGACACTTACTCTGTCCAGAAGGATCGGACAAGGGCATTCTGCATGAAGGTGTGCACGTACCTCCTTCTCCAAAGGCTTTAGCTGCCAAAAATGCACGTATTGTGCAAGATGGTCCGGAAGACACCTATTCGGAAGATCTTGGGTGTCGTACCGCCCGTGGGTCAAATAGGGGCAAACCCTGAGTATCAATGAACACGTCTTAATCGGTGTTCGTACGTTTGTGGCTACCCTTTCTACGTGGAGAAGGCTTTACTACGTTTTCTTTGACGTAACAGGATTCTGTACATGGCATACCATGCCAGTCGTCATTAGAGGTCGAGCTGTCTTCTCGCCATTCGTCCACAATCACCACAGTGGGTAGAATTGGTATAAGAGCTTTCCTCGGAGGAGGATGGAAGTGGTGGTGGGAGTACGTTGTGTGATTCAACACACTTTGGTCTCTTTTGAGAGGAGCCTTCCCTTTAGATTTCCTGGTTACAGAGCTGGAGTACTTCCAATGCCGTTTAGGAACAGACATGTGTACTCTGGGTTTCTCAGAGCCCTCTGTTCCCTCCACATCATCATTATCGGATGGGATATGTCCCGTGTTCTCAGGTGGGAGGGTGCGCACTCTGTAAAGCGCCTTCTCCACCGACGCTGCTACGGCAGCATTTATCATGCTTTGGAAGTCTCGAGTTGGGGTCTGTGATGAGTCAGACATCTTGCCACACTCCTGTAATGGCAGAACGGGATACCTGGAAGCAACACGTGTGCACCACATAATGTTGCAGGGTATCTGGCTTCTAGTACAACTGGGGATCACCCAGAATTTATGCACAAAGTGGTTGAAGTGCCAAATAAGAGGGGGCCACCCTCTAACGACCGGTGCCAGCGGTCGTGTATTTATGCAAGGGAGTTCCCCTTGGTAGTATTGTAGACACTGACAGTATCATAAATCAATAGGGGGGGGGTCACCCCTGTATTGTCCCGTAGGATGGGATGGGTACCTCAGTGAGAGCAGCCTGCCAAAATGTCAGGGCGTGTGAATGTGGGGTTCACCCCAGTTATACAGCGGGGCTGTACGTCTGCGACACCAAGTAACTTGTACAGTTTTAACACACAGATATAGGCACTCCGTACTTTGGGGGTCGCCCCAGTAATAGTAAGGAAGAGATAAAGGGGGAGGGGCCTTTTATACCCTGTACCTATGTTTATTTCACTAAACTTTATTGTTAAATGTGTGCTGCTGGGGTTTAGTTTCTCTGAAGCCTCCTGTCATGTTATGCAATCAGAGTCAGCCAGTACTGAGCTAATCCTGCCTTGTGTAACTCAATGTAAACCCTCCCCTTACTATATAACAACCTGGCTGTGATCACATGACAAAACATGCTCAGCACGGAACTAAGTCACTCTCTCCGTGTTTCCGGTCGGCCAACTGTGGGCTGTGCACAGATTAGGACGCAGCTGGAAGGACCCAGCGGGCTGGCCGTGGATTTGCCTGTCCGGAATGCTGCTCTCCTATTGGCTGAGAGTAATGTAACTGAGCCCGGCGCCGCCCGGCCCTCCCAGCCTGTCCATCCACAGTGACATTGCTCCAGCCGCACACAGTGACATGAGTGCCGGGCTCGGCCGCCTGCTCCGGGCGGGGGGGGACACATGGCCCCGTGTCCTGGGGAGCCTGTCCAGCCGGGCCGGCCTGCGCGGGGTGAGTGTCTGCTGCAGGACTACAACTCCCAGGAGCCAGGGCTGGCTGAGCATCATGGGAAATGTAGTTCACAGAGTTATCCATCCTCAGCCAGTCAGGACATCCCTGGAGTAATTATTACTGGGATACAGGCCCCCAATAGCCGGGTCTGGACACCGCCCAGAAATAAGAATAATAATAATATATAATAATAATAATAATAATAATATATAATAATAATAATTATAATAATAATAACAATAATATAATAATATAATATATAAATAATAATATATAATAATAATAATATAATAATAATAACAATAATATAATATATAATATATAATAATAATAACAATAATTAATAATAACAATAATATAATAATATAATAACAATAATATCTGTTTAGCTCCTGTATACACATTAATTACTCATAATAATAATAATAAATATAATCTATAATAATAATATCTGCTCAGCTCCTGTATACACATTAATTACTCACAATAATAATAAATATAATGTATAATAATAATATCTGTTAAGCTCCTGTATACACATTAATTACTCATAATAATAATAATAAATATAATGTATAATAATAATATCTGTTAAGCTCCTGTATAGACATTAATCGCTCCCACATCCTGGAAGACCTGTCTTTCTCTGGGAGTGTTTTATAATGAACTGACTTTGAGTTTGTTAAATAACCAGATCACAGACACTGTGGAATTCATGGTTTATAGATGTAAATCTTTAGCACCCTATTGAAATCGTGGGTGGCACCCATAAGGCACTTTTATCATCTCTAACTTGTGAGTGCAATCGACTATCCGCGTTTTGTCTACATCAGGCATTATTGCACTATGTGATACCTTTGTTTTTAGGTACACCAGCAGGATCCATAACATTTTCTGTATTGTACATAAGTACTTGATGTGCCAGGCATAATGACACCTTTCCAAATAGACCTATTATTTTATATTTATCCTGTTAAAGATCTCTATTTGTGAGTATATTGTGTCATCAGTCTTTTTGTCTAATCTCAGTTTGTGAAGAGGAGCAATTTAATGCAAGTGGACCCTTCATGGAGATTATCACCAGCTTTGTCATGCCTTGGGTCTAAACCGCCTAAAGGTATGTAATAGCCACTGATCCTATCCTGACATCTAGAAGGGTTTATTTATCTTGGGCTTCAGTACTGAAAAATGGCTTGTGTGTTATTCTGCAAGTGTGTCATTCCTCCTATCATTGCTATATCTGTCCTTGGCACCGGCAGTCCGCATAGAGAAAGCATACATAGATTATTTCTATAGCTCCTCCTCATTTGTATTGTGTGCCCTGTCTGTGCTGCTGGTGGCCTGTAAACCGGAATGTGATGTAAGGTGCATCACTAAAATCGGTTAACACAAGTTATAGGTGATTTGTAATTTTTATTATTATTGAGTAAAGTGACTGTAGCCCATTAAACCCTTCACATTTTGTAATGTTTTGTGTATGTAGGATTTGAGAAGTTTTTCAAGAGAAATAAAAAGGATTCGAGCACTGAAACCCCAGAAAACGTAACAGGTAATAACGTATTGGAGTTCTGTATTATTTGAAGAGCCACGGTTGCATACCTCCGGTCTATAATAGTTAATCATAACTATCGCAAAAGTTGTTATTTGGAGAACTTGATTAAAATGATCTTTCGCTGATAGGCTGTATCACTCAATTGTGCTGTTTTTCTCCGTATGCTGAATTAATTTTATTTCCCCCAGAAAAGGAAAATGATTCTGGGTCACAAGGTAGCAATGGAGGCAGCAAGAAGGATGATACATTATGGTATCGGCGGCTGCAGAAGGTATGTCGGGAGTAATCTAGATGCTATCAATCAGATATTGTTGTTCCGTAAGGCATTATCCGTTCCAAGCAGCCACCTTGTAAATGTGGGCAAAAAGAAATCCACTTACTACTCCTTATCTTTCCCTTTGTTCTCGTCAGGGTGACATCCCTTGGGACGATAAGGATTTCCGCAACTTATTAATAATGGCTGCTGGACTTGCCAGTGGATTTTTCCTGTTTTATTTGCGAGATCCTGGGAGAGAAATCAACTGGAAGGAATTTGTACACCTGTACCTTGCCAGGGGAGTGGTAAGTGAGCATTGAAGGATCATACTCAGACATTAGTCCATGGGTTGTAGTGCTTGGTATCATAACTAAAATATCATTTAGGTTGCCGTTTAAGTACAGATAATGAATCCAGCCTGCAAACAATTTTTCATTTAGTTAATTATTCTGGAAATGGATTGAATATTCTACAATAATACTTTTATTACATATTCCAAGTTAGAAAATAAAACTACTTACTCTGAGCTATAAAATGGTACTGTAACACATTATAGAGGCAGGATCACAGCTGAATATTCTAATCAGAATTAGCTGCCACGAACACAATGATTGTATTTAGCAATCACCTTTATTTATTGTTTGTCTTTGACTTGCCGCAGGTAGACCGGCTGGAGGTGGTGAACAAGCAGTTTGTAAGAGTGATTCCGGTACCAGGAGCCACTACCGAGGTGTGAGCAGTGAATTGTGACGCTTTTCATGCATCTTCATATTATTATTATTATTATTATTTTATTTATATAGCGCCATCAGATTCCGTAGCGCTGTACAATGGGTGGACTAACCGACATGTAATTGTAACCAGACAATTGGACGCAAAGGAACAGCGAGGTGGAGGGCCCTGCTCAATGAGTTTACTTTCTAGAGGGAGGATCAAAAGCCTTTGTTTATGAGGTTGTGTCTTGCTCCCCATGATTAAATGGGTACCCTGTGGACCCCCTCCCCAGACAGGGATCAGTCATGCCTTCACTCTGTTTATATTGCAGTCCTGAGACCCCCACTAGGTGTGCTTCCTGATATTTCTGATAATGTTTATTGTATGTGATGTGATAGTTTATATACTTCTCATTAATGTATGCTGATTGGAAATCTGATATTGTGACAAACAGAAATATGTCTGGTTTAACATCGGAAGCGTGGACAGCTTGGAACGCAATCTGGAAGCTGCGCAACAAGAACTGGGAATAGAAACAGCGCAGAGAGTTACAGTCATATATTCCTCCGAGAGCGATGGGTGAGTAAGGTTGGGAACGTTGGCTTTCTCATTGCCGCCATGGGGCATCCTGACTTGTGCCACAAATCTGATGGCTTATCTAATGTGTATTAGTGAAAATTAGTTGTGTGCCCACGCTGGTCAGTAAATGCGCTTTATATTTGAATAAGGTTACAGTGAGTAAAAAAGCACAGAGATAAAAAGATACTAAATTAAAGATATGTGCTGCCATAATGAACCCTGGCAAACTGTCTATAAAGTTCCAGAGCTTGCATTCTGAATATATTTGCACACATTTTCTTTCTATATAGTGAACGAGCTATATGTAAATATGTTCATAGTGAGTATAAAACATAAGCAAATAATGCCATCCCCTTCTTACGCTATACAGGTCTTTCCTAATGAGCATCATCCCTACTCTCCTCCTCGTGGGCTTCCTACTGTTTTCCCTACGGAGGGGTGCCATGGGGCCAGGCCGGGGGGGAAGAGGTGGTGGATTATTTGGGGTTGGAGAGACGACGGCCAAGATGTTAAAGGGCAACATTGATGTAAAATTTCGGGATGTGGCTGGATGCGAGGAAGCAAAGCTTGAGATAATGGAGTTTGTGAATTTCCTTAAAAATCCCAGACAGTATCTGGATCTTGGAGCCAAAATTCCCAGGGTGAGTACTGTATAGGATATATATTTTAAAGTGTATATATGAAGACAACTCCGGCTTTTCAGAAGCTTGGATAAAAACAGACACGTTTGCATTAAAAATCCGCCATTTTCCCCAGCTAGTAATCATTGGATAAACATGTAGCTCATTTCGCAGTGCTTGTATGTCTCTGTAAATAGCAGCAGTACAGTTTACTGTAAAGAGACTGCAGTCTAATTGTTTATTCTCCCTTTTATCGTCTTTTGCTATATTTTTCCTTGTTATCCCTTACATGTAGCATCCTATATTCACACTCTCTTTTAGGGAGCTATGCTTACCGGCCCGCCAGGCACCGGGAAGACCTTACTTGCTAAAGCCACAGCTGGAGAAGCCAATGTGCCTTTTATCACCGTCAACGGCTCTGAGTTCCTGGAGATGTTTGTTGGTGTTGGTCCAGCCAGGGTAAGGAGTCTGTTTTGGAGTTCACAGGCTGAGCTGGAATGAATATATATATATAATTTTTTTTTCTGCGTCATTTCCTTGCTCCTATAGGTGCGGGACATGTTTGCGATGGCTCGTAAGAACGCGCCATGTATCCTTTTCATTGATGAGATTGATGCGGTTGGCCGGAAGAGGGGGAGAGGAAACTTTGGTGGGAACAGTGAGCAGGAGAACACTCTGAACCAGTTGCTGGTGGAGATGGATGGTAAGTAAATGGGATTATCTACTCCTCTGTCTCAAGGTCATTATCCTGTGGGTTATTGGTAATGCCTTGCATTCCCTCCTTAGGGTTTAATTCCAGCACAAACGTGGTAATCCTCGCTGGCACAAACAGACCGGATATCTTAGACCCTGCCCTGATGAGACCAGGACGATTTGATCGTCAGATTTACATTGGTAAACCGAAAACGAATGTAACTGCAGTTTGGAAATGTCTGGATTCCAGGGAAAAGGTTTTATTTGTTCTTTTCTCTTCCTTCAGGGCCGCCTGATATAAAAGGAAGAGCATCCATTTTTAAAGTGCACTTACGTCCATTGAAGCTGTCTGACAGTCTGTGTAAAGATACTCTGTCCAGAAAGCTGGCCTCCCTGACACCAGGGTTCACAGGTGAGGAAGAAAGTGTTAACATAGAAGACAGATTTTGTTAGATGGTGAGAATTCTAGGAATTGTAGTCACAGGCACTACTAAAGGGCTAGGATTGGAGTCTGCTGAGTTAAAGAGTCTCTAAATAAGTGAGTGCAACTCTTTAACATGTTTTATAACTGCTTGTATTCCTGTCTGTGTCCATTTTGCTCATCTCAGGAGCCGATATCGCCAACGTGTGCAATGAAGCAGCTCTGATTGCTGCCCGCCATCTGAAGGAGAACATAATCGGGAAACACTTTGAGCAGGCCATTGAGCGTGTCATTGGAGGTAAGACATATATTTATCTGCACATTCTGCTGCTCACCAGCAGGGGGCCACGTGTCTGACTATGATCATTTAGTAATAGTTTATCTAATCTTTGTACATATCTACACAATGTCAAGGATGTGTTTTTATTTTTGTGGTGGGAGGTTGTCCCTCTTTTCAGTGGATGTGATTTTCTTTATCTAGTGTTGACTTGTCTCCTATTTCAGGACTAGAGAAGAAGACTCAGGTCCTTCAACCAGCAGAGAAGCAAATCGTGGCATACCACGAAGCTGGACACGCTGTGGTTGGGTGGTTCTTGGAGCATGCTGACCCTCTTCTTAAGGTACATTGAAAGGGAAATGCAATATTCAAGCTTACCCACCGCAGCCAAGAAAAGGCCTGAGTCTGATCATTGCAGTCATGTGATTGGGACCGGGACATTGTCCTGAGCACTTTAGACTGATCAGAGACATGTGCAGTGCAGCTGTAACAATGCCTGAAGCCACAAAACCAGCAATGTCTCCCCTCTCTGAGAGCAGTTAATCAGAAGGTGCCATGTGTTGGGTTTGGCATGCTTGCAGTAGGCACACCTTAAATTGAGTCAGGGGAAGGAATATTGGTACAGGTGGACAGCTTCTTAGCTGCTCATGTGAAGCAACGCTGAGGGCGAATGCACATAGAGCACTGTGGGAGGAATGTCTGAATGTGTATGCATGCATTCGGCAATTTAGAATCTGATCCAGAGCATAGTTGGTGAATCATTGTAGGAGACTAGTGCTAGAACCTAAAAGGACGCCTGGTGAACCATTCATTTCATTTATTGGGGTGAAGAACAGTCTGCATCGGAGAAGTGACTGCTATGTGCTGATGGTGTGCGACTGAATGGAGTGCTGTTTCCTCTGACTCTATTTGAATTAATGGGAAGATTGTTGCTGCAGTTCATTCGTTCTTTGTTTTTTTCCTAAACTGAGGGGAGTTAACTTTTCCAAAAATCTACCTCCATCCCTCCTTCTCCGTGTATGTTAGGTTTCTATTATTCCTCGTGGGAAGGGCTTGGGTTATGCCCAGTATCTCCCTAAGGAGCAGTACCTGTACACACGGGAGCAGCTGTTTGACCGCATGTGCATGATGCTCGGAGGACGTGTGTCTGAGCAGCTATTCTTCGGCCGCATTACCACGGGGGCCCAGGATGACCTAAAGAAAGTCACGCAGAGTGCATACGCACAGGTGAGAAAACAGGGACCGGCTTCCATAATTACAATGTGTGAGATTCTTCCTCAGTATGACTTCCGGTCTTCTCCCTCAGATTGTGCAGTTTGGGATGAGCGACAAGGTGGGCCAGGTATCCTTCGACCTTCCGCGTCAGGGAGAAATGGTAGCGGAGAAACCTTACAGCGAAGCTACGGCAGAGCTCATAGACCAGGAGGCACGGGATCTAATTAACACAGCCTATGAGAGGACTCTGGAGCTTCTAACTAGATACAAAGAGCAGGTGGACACGGTAAGGAGAAGCTAAGACCCTAAAAAAAACACTTTATTTTTTTTTTCCCGCATTTATATTGATGGTTCATTGAGAAACCTGAATTTGTCTGAGACAGTCTGCAGAAAGCCAGTTATTCTTTTATTAATATATATTGCGTATGCTATTACTGTAACATTTATCTACAGTCACTTTGATGGACCAATAAGATCTATCTGTGTAGCATGAACTGAAAACTGTGCTCAAACCCAGATGTAACATATAAACACTGCCAGCTAGTGGAGGAAACCTGCAGATAATACACATTCAGCTGTGTTTACGGTAACAAAAAATAAAGGATTTTCAATAAAATGTTAAGTTTTCTTAAATATAAAAAAAAGGTTTTATTGGCAAGATAATAAAATACCAAAAAGCCAATGGCGATTACCGTTTCAAAGAAGAATAACTATATACACTGTAACAGAATATTTGCAATGGAGAGTATTTAGAACAGAAGTCTGTTATTTGATGTTGGAGAGAGGAAGACATGGTGTGACGCTCTAACAAGGCTATTCTCTAGAGACTGTGAGAAGTAAAACACAAACAAGTGGAATTAAAAATATGTACAGCATCTCACAAAAGTGAGTGCACCCCTCCCATTTTTGTAAATATTTTATATCTTTTCATGTGACAACACTGAAGAAATGCCACCCTGCTACAATGAAAAGCAGTAAGTGTACAGCCTGTATAACAGGGTAAATTTGCTGTCCCCTCAAAATAACTCAACACACAGCCATTAATGTCTAAACCGTTGGCAACAAAAGTGAGTACACCCCTAAGTGGAAATGTCCAAATTGGGCCCAGTTAGCCATTTTCTCTCCCCGGTGTCATGTGATTCAGTGTTACAAGGTCTCAGGTGTGAATGGGGAGCAGGTGTGTTAAATTTGGTTTTATCGTTCTCACACAAGTTCAGCCTTAGACCTCATGGCAAAGAACTATCTGAGGATCTGAAAAAAATAATTATTGCTCTACATAAAGATGGCGTAGGCTATAAGCTGATTGCCAAGACCCTGAAACTGAGCATGGTGTGCAAGACCATACAGTGAAATACTGTGTGCATCGATATTGGGTGTTTAATCAGGCTACTGTTACAGTTTTGTCATAAATATAAACATAAAATGACTTGCTTCGCTCTGTCCGCCATGCTGGTGTTACAGCTGCCTCCACTCATACGGCCAGATAAAAGGGGAAAAAGACTGTCTGGTGGCAGCAGTTCCTCCACTGACCTCCTTGGAACTATTCTCTTCAATGATACAATGTTACAGCTTTTTATATCCATTTGTTACGTTGGTGATGTTCAAAAATGCATCTTTACTTTAAGAATAGTCTATACCTTGTACAGCCTTCCAGTGAAAGTGTTAAAGGTAAAGGAACTCTATAGGCACCAAGACCACTTCAGCTCATTGAGCGAGGGGGACACTATAGGCACCAAGATCACTTCAGCTCATTGAGCGAGGGGGACACTATAGGCACCAAGACCACTTCAGCTCATTGAGCGAGGGGGACGCTATAGGCACCAAGATCACTTCAGCTCATTGGCTCATTGAGCGAGGGGGACACTATAGGCACCAAGACCACTTCAGCTCATTGAGCGAGGGGGACACTATAGGCACCAAGACCACTTCAGCTCATTGAGCGAGGGGGACAGTATAGGCACCAAGACCACTTCAGCTCATTGAGCGAGGGGGATACTATAGGCACCAAGACTAGTTCAGCCCTTTGAAGTGGTCTGGGTGCTGTGTCACTTTTGCACTTAGTGCTGCAATGTAAAACATTGAGTTCCAGAGAAACTGCAATGATTAAATTATAGCTCTAAGCCTGCCCTCAGTAGCTGTTTGGCCTTTGGTCTGTTATCTGATGCTGGACGTCCTCATTGAATAATGCTTTCCCATTGCTGCGCGTGCGCACTTGGTCTACCCAGCCGGCTGACGTCGGCGGGGGAGAGCGTGGGTGGATCCAGACCCAGCACCGAGGGACATCGTTGCTGGATTTAGATAAGTGGCCGAAGGGGTGTTAGCCTTGCCGAAGGGGTGGTGAAGGAGGGGGGACCTTAGAAATCTATAGTGCCAAGAAAACGGCTTTGTTTTCCTGGCACTATAAGATCCTTTTAACAACGTACAAGAACCCTGATGTTGGTCAGACTAGATTGGCTTGTCGGGCTGTCCTCGGCTAGGATTTTAATATAAGGATACTGTATGCACTGTAACTGCTTCATCTCATTGAACTGGTTATAGTGTCTGGGGTCCCTTGGTAACATAATGTCATTCGGCATCAAACAGTTGTTAATGTTTTCATGCTAAACTGGACAAAGTAGATACAGTGCCTACAGCATCAATGCTGATATTTTGTCTGTGCAGCTGTGATTGGCTGAGAGTGTCAGCTGATTGCTTTTAGCTTATCAGAGTTCCAATTGACAGAATGAAGCGTATGGCTACAAGGAAGTGTGTAATCTCTGCCTAGCCACACCTCCAGTGGGGGCTGGAATGTTGGTGGGCAGGGATCCTTATTTAGTGTTAAACTGCTAGAAAATGGAACTTCAGGCACCATAACTAATTTAAACAGATTAAATAGTGACTACAGTGTCCCTTTATGTTATGTTATTCTGATAATTTATTTATAAAGAACCAATATCTTTGGCCTGCCTGGTACATGTGGATGCAGTGAATTCATAATACAATGACAATGTAGGCATTATTATAAAAGCTTGCAATCTGTACATCATACTTTATTTGCCACCGACAGGTTGGGAAGCGACTTCTGGAGAAGGAAGTGCTGGAGAAGTCAGACATGATTGAACTATTGGGTCCAAGACCGTTTGCAGAGAAGTCTTCGTATGAAGAGTTTGTGGAGGGGACAGGCAGCTTTGAGGAGGACACCTCGCTTCCGGATGGTCTGAAGGACTGGAACCAAGAGGTGACAGAGGATCAGGAGCCAAAGAGACAGGAGAACACATCCTAACAGACTGCAATGGACTCTCCATTACAATGTTCCTAAGTGGGAGTTTCTTCTCAGGGACGATATCTGCTTTAGAAAGGGGCCTGATCGTTCCCTTTATGTATGTGTAACATCTTACCGGCAGTGCCTCAAGACAACTTACCACTGCTGGATTCCTCCTTCATTAGAGCACTTTGTGACACTCTCACATCATGGTAAATGTGGGCTAAAGCTCAGTTCTGGTACCAATCTGCGATGTTGTACTACACATGGGATAGCTGCCTGGCCAAGATATTAAATATAATGTCATGAGCTGTATTTTCACTTCGACTCCCAGCCGGCTGAGCTATACCAATAAAATGATATCATGCAGTGGAATCCTATTCATTTATCAGGAACAATGATTGCAGATGAACAATTTTCTACCAGTTGTACATTCCTGTCCATGGTTCTGAATATTTGTATGGTGTTTGCCATGCAGCAGCTGTGTGCAATGGTAGCCGTAAGGCTGGCAGAGCATTACAGGTGTTGTAGTTCATAACTAGTGGGGGTTCTATCTTTACGCCCTTCTTGGTGTACATACCATTATTTTGGTGGTCTTTCTATCACTGCATATAAACCGTCACCCATGCTCTGTGACGGTCACATAGACTAGGACAGGGTCAGCACCCGGGCGGTGTCTGTACAAGGTTACGTATAATCAAACTGTACAGTGCTTTACTGCTGAATTATTCTATATAAATCATAAAAACAGACAAGTTGTGTCCTGTGTTATATGCTCTAAATCTACACCCATAGGTAGGGTTAGTTACTAGCTCAGAATTGTAGCTAATTTAGAGCCAGCTGGAAAATATTTAGGCAAAAACAGGTGGTCTGAAAATTTCTCCAACTCTGCTCCAGGCACAGCGGACTGTTTGTAATCCAGATCTCAGTCCATTACAATTTGGAGTTTAGTTATTATCCCTGAGCGAATGGTTAGGTCTTCGTTGAATCTGTATCGGAGTGCTTTCCATACTGTTTAAACCGTCTATTATAACTTACCCTGTCAGAATAACCTGTACCTGAATGTATGATCGGTACAAAACACAGAACATCTCTGTAACGTTGAATATACACTTAGTTTACAGGATGTTCCTGGGTCTAGAGGAGACGAGGAAACTGCTCCCACAGGTACTCCTTGTAAAATATGAATGCTACCGGTTTAATAGATAAATAGATTTAGTGCATAACTTGGAGACCAGTTAAGAGAGGGTTTCCTCTACGGGCGTTTGTGAGAAATCCAGTACAGATACCATCAAGAGCCTTTTATAGAGAATTCAACAACAACAAAAAGTGCAGTTTTCATAGAACCAAAATGTTGGTGTAAACAATAGTGTTTTTTTTGTTTGTTTTTAATGATGGATCAGTTGCAAATGCTTCTAGGGAACACTATTCAGATCTCTTTTGTAATGCAGTAGGACCCTAATTAGTCTATAACGCTACATATCTCTTTGTATGAGCACTGCGGTTTGAAATGATCCAGTAGCATATTGCTAGCAGTTGTGTTCCCTGTGCTATCAGGGTTCTGGGTTATATGTCAAAGCCGATTGTAGAAAATCCAAGCTCCATACATTGCTGCAGTGACTTGCGCATGCAGAGCAGGCCTCTCGGTACTTGGTGTTCGAGGGCCCCTTGCTTCTGGTAAATAATGCATTAACTGTTTCAGTCGCTGTATTCTGTCCCTCTGATCCCCGTTTAGAGTCGCTTTGTTCGGAGCGCTCCAATTCAAACAGACAGCCTAGGCCTTAAAACGGCCTCTCCTTTCCTGTTGAGTAGTTCATGAATTAGTAATTCTGCCTCCTGGATCTAAGAACCCTTCTCTACCTTCCAACAACATTGTCACAAATTATTTATAAGACCCAGTCGCTCCTTTTACATACACTCCTAGCTCACTGAGCAGATACAAAGGAGATTAGCTCAGACTTTCACAGCAAAATAACAATTAAACAGGAAAGGGGCCAAGAAGCGATGGTTAAAACACCAACAATAAGCACTTCTTGTAAAAACAGCGCCTGTTACTGTCAGACTCTGCTCTGCCGGCAGTTTGGGCTCTGTCAATGTCCATTCGGATGAATACATCTTATCATTAGAACTGAATGGAATCCTTGATTCATCACCTACATAGTCTGCAGCACTGTACAAAGAATATAAGTGGGGAAATTGCAGTATGTACTGAGGCGTACTGATGCAGAAGGATTAGGAACTGCTTAGAAGTGGAGCTTTCTCATCAAGTACACAAACACCTCTGTTTACATAATATAAAATATAAGATTTTTATAGGAAATATTCCAAATTCAAAAAATGATGGACGAGAAATAAGCTCCTCTTCGTATATGTCTTTTGTTTTGTTTAAGGAAGGTGTATTTGGAATGGTTATACGTGAATTTTAGCAGCATCTAAAAATTAAAGTCACAGCAAAGGTGAATTATTTGTTGGAATTGAGAGCCGAGTCTGTCACGGCCTGCCTAGAGTAATTGGACTATTTGGTTTTTCTTCCAGGGGGTGAGGGCGGCACTGATAGAGTTAAAGGAACCAAATATTAGTTTAAATGTTGGAATATTCGTTTTAAAATCCCGAGAACCCTGCCCTTGCTCCTCTCCATATTGATTTTTTTCTTGTGTCAGACAAGCCTGGCTGCCATTCATTTTCAGCTTGTTTGGTCTGTGTCCTTCAGAATCTCGCTGCGGCCATGATATCTGTTCGGGGGTTCAGTGAATAGCCCCCAATGTTAAAGTCACACTGTATACACCGAAATGACCTGTTCACTCCTGAAAGCTGATTTTAGAAAAATATTCTGTGAATGGGTCCATGCTTAGAATGGTGTTACATTTAATTATTGCCTTTTTTTTCTGGTTAGTTTTTTGTGCTTTCTCTAGGACAAAGTTGTTAAATTCTAAGAGAACATTTTATGTGTTTTTTTTTTTTCTTCTTTTCTGCCTCAGTTTTATTCTGTCACGAGTAATGTGCGATGGAAGGGTTAAACAAAAAATGGCTACTTTTTCCTACATTTATATTAGAATCAACTGATAGCTTGTGTTTAGACTAAACAAACGTAAAACAAAATCCATTTAAGTCTATTTAAAATGACCGGGTTTGTATATATGTGTAAAAATATGGATTCTGGATCTACAGTGTGTTCACATCTTATCTTATCATTAAATTAATCTTGGGTTACACTGTAGACTTTTTCTGTCTTTGACCTTGATTTAATATTTTTGGATAAACTTTTAAAATGATTTAATAGTTTGAAAATGTTATATGTTGTGTATATCAACGTAGAATTCACCATCCTGCATTACAAACCCCATCAGATATTTTTGTTTTGTTTAATTTGCTTCTGTTGCTGTGTTTGTGACAAGCGTTATAAAATCTATATCGTCTACTTTGTGTGCCCGTCCTGATTCAGCTTTATCTGCGAAGGTCAGCTGACGGCAGCAGAGCCTCCCCGAGGGCACCTGGCGCTTTTAACGCACGATTTGCTCGTGTTGTGTAACTGCAGTGCCGTGACGTCTGTATTTATACACACAGGACTGTCTGGGGCGTTTGAGATCTCATGCCAGCCCCGGGCAGCCTCCTGGATACAGCCAGGGGAATCGCTCCCTGTGTTAATGTCTCAAATGATCCATTAAGGCAGTGGGCCCCTTCTCCAAACCACACTCTATGTTACACAACCCTCCCGAATTGCTGAATCCTGTGAACGAGAAGCTTTAATTCCCTGGCAGCAGTTACTGTGTTAGAACAATGTATATTCTGCAGAATTGTTTGTAGACTGGGCATGGAGTGTGGGGTTTGCAGCAAAGAAGATCTGATGCTGGACTCGGGATGAGATGGAGGAGACTTGCTGGAATAAGAGCCCGTGGGGTATATAACCCCATTTAGTGGGGATATTTACAGGCTTCTTCAGTAGACTCCGGATTGTAGCAAGTTATGATACCAGATCTGTCACAGATAAGGGGAGAATCTGACATTTACAGAGTTACAGAAAACTATTGTGTGAATGGTTGGGAATTTAAAAATGTCACATTTAAGACAGATGTTTCAAGTCCAGATATTGTTGGCATAAACTTGAAAGTCACTTGGAATTCCCATTAATTCACACTTTAGTAATCAACCTTTCTAGGGTAACTTCCTAAAGCAATAATTCAGAGTAAATACAACGAGAACTTTAAATGTAAGGACAAACTAAAGCTCAGTTCTGGTACCAATCTGCGATGTTGTACTACACATGGGATAGCTGCCTGGCCAAGATATTAAATATAATGTCATGAGCTGTATTTTCACTATAGAAAATGAACAGACCACAGATGGATATAAGAGAAACATAGAAACATAGAATGTGACGGCAGACAAGAACCATTCGGCCCATCTAGTCTGCCCAATTTTCTAAATACTTTCATTAGTCCCTGGCCTTATCTTATAGTTAGGATAGCCTTATGCCTATCCCACGCATGCTTAAACTCCTTTACTGTGTTAACCTCTACCACTTCAGCTGGAAGGCTATTCCATGCATCCACTACCCTCTCAGTAAAGTAATACTTCCTGATATTATTTTTAAACCTTTGTCCCTCTAATTTAAGACTATGTCCTCTTGTTGTGGTAGTTTTTCTTCTTTTAAATATAGTCTCCTCCTTTACTGTGTTGATTCCCTTTATATATTTAAATGTTTCTATCATATCCCCCCTGTCTCGTCTTTCCTCCAAGCTATACATGTTAAGATCCTTTAACCTTTCCTGGTAAGTTTTATCCCGCAATCCATGAACCAGTTTAGTAGCCCTTCTCTGAACCCTCTCTAAGGTATCAATATCCTTCTGAAGATACGGTCTCCAGTACTGTGTACAATACTCCAAGTGAGGTCTCACCAGTGTTCTGTACAATGGCATGAGCACTTCCCTCTTTCTACTGCTAATACCTCTCCCTATACAACCAAGCATTCTGCTAGCATTTCCTGCTGCTCTATTACATTGTCTGCCTACCTTTAAGTCATCAGAAATAATCACCCCTAAATCCCTTTAGGTTGGTGGAATCTGTAATGACACGCAATGGGCACAGCGGGAAAGCCATTTTGGTTCTTTGATAATCAGATCTTTGGCATTAGTTAAAGACACCCAGCGGGCACACAGGATGACATTAGATAAAGACACCCAGCAGGCACACAGACTGGCATTAGACACCCAGCGACCACACAGACTGGCATTAGTTAAAGAAACCCAGTGGACACACAGACTGGCATTAGTTAAATACACCCAGCAGGCACAAAGACTGGCATTAGTCAAAGATACCCAGTGGGCACACAGACTGGCATTCATTAAAGAAACCCAGCGGGCACACAGGATGGCATTAGATAAAGAAACACAGCTGGCACACACACTGGCATTAGTTAGACACCCAGCAGGCACACAGACTGGCATTAGTTAAAGACACCCACCGGGCACACAGACTGGCACTAGTTAAAGACACCCACCAGGCACACAGACTGGCATTAGACACCCAGCGGCCACACAGACTGGCATTAGTTAAAGAAACCCAGTGGACACACAGACTGGCATTAGTTAAATACACCCAGCAGGCACAAAGACTGGCATTAGTCAAAGATACCCAGTGGGCACACAGACTGGCATTCATTAAAGAAACCCAGCGGGCACACAGGATGGCATTAGATAAAGAAACACAGCTGGCACACACACTGGCATTAGTTAAAGACACCCAGCAGGCACACAGACTGGCATTAGTTAAAGACACCCACCGGGCACACAGACTGGCATTAGTTAAAGAAACCCAGTGGGCACACAGACTGGCATTAGTTAAAGACACCCACCGGGCACACAGACTGGCATTAGTTAAAGAAACCCAGTGGGAAAACAGACTGGCATTGGTTAAAGACACCTGGTGGGCACACAGGATGACATTAAAGACACTCAGCGGGCACACAGGATGGCATTAGAGAAAGACACCCAGTGGGCACACAGGATGGCACTGCTTAGTTTTGTTCTTTAATGAATATTACACAGAAAGTTGCTACATCACAGTGTGACAAACTGCTGTCACTTATTACATTTTTGGACTAGATCCCGGTGGATTTCCGCCCTCACAGTGTTATTCCAATTACTTACAGCCACGTACCGTCTACCTGAAACACGTGTTGCCTAGAAACATTGGTTCCTGTCCCCGGGCGACAGAACACGGCAGCAAAACAAACTGCTGACTTGTGCTGCCTTGCAGCATTCTGCTAGCTGTTTAGATGCTCGGGAGGAAATCAATAGATCGTGCATGTCTGTGGTACAGCAATGTTTAACCCGTCAATGCCCACTATGATGCTCTTCAAACCTCATTATCAATTTGAAACCAGAACTGTTCTTTTGCCCAGCCCGGTAGGAGGCCCCAAGTTCTCTGTGTAAAGTGTCCCCTTGCACTGCCACTGGTTCCCGCTAACAGTGACCAGAGGGTAGGGCTCTGGGGCCTTCAACAAGGTAAATATTGGACCAGATCATGTTTTGTGCATGCGCCATGGTCCAGTGCATCTTCTGGAGGTTCAAGATTCTAACACACAGTTTATGCCAAGTGAATGCTCTCTTCCATTGGTGATACTTGGGAAATCCTGTGTCGGGAACAAAACGTCCTTTGAACCTTTGACGCAGTGAATCCTTTGTATTGGACATGATGATCCCAGCTAAACCTCTTCCTGGTGGGGCCATGTGCTGAGGTGGGATTATTCAGCAAGGCCAGAATACGCTGCTTCCCCCAATGCCTTCTGGATAGCAAGTCATGATTTGCAGAGTGTATTGTGTAACAAACAGTGTGTGAGCAGCCGGACAGATCCACCATTTCCTCCTTCACAGAACAAGTGAATCTATTGGTTTCCAGATTCCCATCACTAAGATCTCACGGTGTCTGATACATGGTCCATGTTGTTTATTCTCTAATGTATTCCAGGCAAACTGGGAGACAGAGTGCTCCTCACCAAAAGCACCACTGATTAGTTTCATTTTCTGCTATTGTTTTTAAGTCAAGTGACATCTTTTAACATTAAAATAAAGCATCGAGTGTGGCGTCTATGAACGACACGGCTTATATTGCAATTTCCAGCCACCTGGAGGACAAAGTGACAAATCCAGGAGCAATGACAGTGACATAAGAGCAGAGTGACAGACAGGGACGGGAGAGAAGAGTGACAGGCAGGAATGGGAGAGATGAGTGAAAGGCAGGGACAATGACAGTGACAGGAGAGCAGAGTGATAGACAGGGACGGGAGAGCAGAGTGACAGACAGGGACGGGAGAGCAGAGTGACAGACAGGGACGGGAGAGCAGAGTGACAGACAGGGACACGAGAGCAGAGTGATAGACAGGGACACGAGAGCAGAGTGATAGACAGGGACGGGAGAGCAGAGTGACAGACAGGGACGGGAGAGAAGAGTGACAGACAGGGAAGGGAGAGAAGATTGACAGGCAGGGACAATGACAGTGACAAGAGAGCAGAGTGACAGGGACAGGAAAGCAGAGAGACAGACAGTGACATTTAAGTGACAGTGAGTGTATGTCCCCAACATTCATTGCCACAAGAATGCTGCACAAAGTAAACATGCCTTAGGGATACCATAGTCATTATTGGGGTGATAATACAGGGCACCCCCGGAAATATCAAGAAAACTTAAAGGACCACTATAGTCACCCAGACCACTTCAGCTCAACGAAGTGGGCTGGGTGCCAGGTCCTTCTAGTTTTAACCCTGCAGCTGTTAACATAGCAGTTTTAGAGAAACTATGTTTCACTGAGGGTTAATCCAGCCTCTAGTGGCTGTCTCACTGAAAATCACAGTGAGAAGACACTGGACGTCCATAGGAAAGCATTGAGAAATGCTTTCCTTTGGACTGTTTGAATGTGCGGCAGTGGGAGGAGGGTTCCCCCGCGCTGAGGGAGCCCGGCACTAGAGAAAGATAAGTGTTTAACCCCTTCAGCCCAGCGGGAGTGGGACCCTGAGAGGTGTCGGGGGGGGAGGGGGGCGCAGAGAGACCCTATAGTGCCAGGAATACGAGTTTGTTTTTCTGGCACTATAGTGGTCCTTTAATCTAGATTGTTTGTAGTGTTTGGGCCTGAACTGCATCTAGTGCAGGTGTCACCAAAACACCCAGAACACCTGGTGTGCCACCCAGTACCAAGGAGGACCTCATACGCTGCAATAGGGGTTGTACCCTGCTCTCTGGCATCATGGGAAATGTAGTTCAAAACATCACTGTTTTAGAATCTTATTACAATGAGGTGGGGGCCTTAATGTAGATCCATACCTCCCAAGTGTCTCTATTTAGGATAGACAGTCCCTATTTCAAGCCAAAATCCCTCTGTCCCTCTTTTCTATACTAATGTCCCTCTTTTTTTAGGAATCCCCTTGAATTGTTGGTGTGTCTGAGTGTGTAACAGAGCTCCACAACAGTAATGTGTCTGAGTGTATAACAGAGCTCCACAGCAATAATACTCCCAGTGATGTGTCTGAGTGTATAACAGAACTCCACAGCAATAATACTCCCAGTGATGTGTCTGAGTGTATAACAGAGCTCCACAGCAATAATACTCCCAGTAATGTGTCTGAGTGTATAACAGAGCTCCACAGCAATAATACTCCCAGTAATGTGTCTGAGTGTATAACAGAGCTCCACAGATACTCCCACAGTGCAATAATACTCCCAGTAATGTGTCTGAGTGTATAACAGAGCTCCACAGCAATAATACTCCCAGTAATATGTCTGAGTGTATAACAGAGCTCCACAGCAATAATACTCCCAGTAATGTGTCTTTAAACTACAATAAATGTGTTTAGAAATCAGTCTGTGTAAATAGGATACATTGTTCTTCTAAATTACATTTTAGTTGGATAAATTGTTATTAGTAAGTCACAGAGAAAGTCTCAGAATTGCCCTGCCCCTGGCACCACCCCTAAATGTAAAGTGTCCCTCTTTGCCAATTTGAAATGATGGGAGGTACTAAGATCTGTGTCAGAACTACAGCCCCCAAGATGCTTTGCCAGCCAAGTTCTAAGCTGGAGGTCCCATATGAGTATTCACTAATGATCTGTTCTCACAGGTAACTTCAATACTATCAGTCACACAGGGACCCTAAAGCCTGCACTGTGGGGGCCCCCAGCATCTCTGGACACTGGGTACTAAAGCATGAACTAACACAGGTACAGGATACCCACAGTTAGATTGTATTAATATTCTGATTATAATATTATTATTATAATTTGATGGGACTAAAGACTTCCCCGTTTGCTTCTCTCCAAATTAGGATTAATTAATCACCTTTTTGTGATAAGGGGCAGTACATAGCATTCATATGCTGCAGAAGAATTACTAATCATTCTTCAAGGCAGCTCCACTGGAATCCATTCGTGATTAAGAAACTGCCTTCCATCCTGCAGATGATGAATTCTATATACTGTACAAGGTATCGTTCTTCATGGCCAGACCAACTGGCGATCTATTTTTACTTGTTCCACCTGTGTTAAAGCAGGGCTTTCCTTGTAAAGACTTGTAGGGACAGATTTTTATTGAATGTTAATTGTAATGATGTAAAACTATTGGCTGTTATTTATCTGTGCTATTTTAGACGTATCAGATATCACCATTTAATAAAATCACTGTACTGTGTGTGAACAGAACGCTGGGTATTTTAATGGCGTGGAATAGCAGACTGCACTAACTGTGTCTCTAAGGTGACAGTTTGCGTAGAAAGCTGTTAATTGGGAGTGGGAGTCGTTAATAGGCAGGGGGTGAGCTGTGTGTTCCTGGCAAACTGTGTTAATCTGGGATGTACTTACTAAACTACAACTTGTATTGAATCAAAATCTGAATGACAAATTCAGGCTAGAATAGCTGCTTTGGAAAACTTATCTGCCATTTAGGAGTTAAATCACGTAGTTTCTGTTTATGCAGCCCCTGCCACACCTACCCTGGCTGTGACTCCCCCAGTCTGCATGAAAACATAATAATGTTCAATTAGATGTTAGCTTGCTTTAGACGTTTTGATCTCCGGCCCTGTAACTTGAACTTTAATCTCACACAGGAGGCACTTGACACTTTACTAACTTCTCTTCTGTAGATAGTATTATTATTATTATTATTATTATTTTTGTTCATAAAGTGCTAACTTTCGGTGTACAACCTGTGCCCAGTGAAATGCAGCTTGGGAGTTTTTCTAGGAGCACTCTTGTGTACAATCTGATGGCGCTATATAAATAATAATAATAATAGGGATACCAACCCCTCACTCATGGTCGAAGTCAGTCCGTCAGCGGTCAGTCTGTTTGATTCACTAAATATCCACTTCATACGTGTTTTACTTGCAGGGTGAGCTCACTGTGGTTTTTAGAGGCTCCTCATTTAGGGAAATGGTGAAACAAGGGCTTCATTGGAAGATCCCATCATTGTGGGGTGCAGCTGTGCAATATGACTTATATTAAAGTGCAGAAGTGCCCTCGAAGCTTTAAAAAAATTAAAAAAAAAAAAAAAAAAGGATATAACCCTTTGGAAATATCATCCCAGTGCAGCATCTTCTCAATGACCGACCATACAATAGGACAACAGAGATTCTGTAATGACACAGGGTTTAGAGACAGATGGTTGCGGCTTTTTGGAGACCCAGAGAGGCCACTTGTATGTCTGCTGATGGTGCGAGTGTAATTAAGGCTGTAGGGGGAACTGTGCTTGTGAAAGAGACAATGTGAAGATTACAACATGCCAATCATCCATTCAGAGACTCCTCTCCTTACATGTCTCAATCTTCCAAGAAGGTGACGTGATGCCTGTCTCAGCAATGTTTTGGGTGCCAGCACCCTTCACTGTAATCCAACATAGACCTTATGGTGACATCCAGATCATGGTCAATCAAGAGGTTTCAAAGTTATTTTTCTGCAAGCTACCTTTGTACTAACTGTGCCCGCGACTGGAAATTCTCCCGTTTGATGTTAGGTCTTTGCTGTTCCAGCATTAGTTCCTGGTCTTTGTCGTACAATTCATAGCTCCTTCTCTTTAAGAGATTTCTACACCCTGAAGTCCATGTGTGATCCAGCAAGCCACAGCAATTCCTCATGCAGTAACCCAGCAGGGAGCTCTGTGAGCGGAGCTTGGAGATGGCTTTGTTTTTTAGGTCTCTCTATATATGTTGTTTCCTCTATGTGGTTAGTGCAGTTTTTGGAGCTGTGCTCTTGGCATTGTTTGTGGTCCATTTCCCAGTGTGACCCCGGGGCAGGTGGCATGGAGTTGGACCACATTGGGTGAGTGAAGGCTGTCTAGTTTTCTTTGGATCTTTCTGCAGCGATGAAGGCATCCAGCAGGCCGCCCTGGAGTTCGGAGTCACTCAGATGTTTCTTTTCTCTTTCTGCTCTTGTCCTGGTCCATGAAGGAGATCGCAGATACCCAGCTCGAGGGAGTGGGGGCAACTGCAGACCTACAAATAAACAGTTGGGGAGAGACTGACTAGTGGCATTACATAAAGTGATCCCACCTTACTTTGACCCTTCTAAAAAGAATGGTTATCTGCCCAGTAACCTGAACACCTATGCACCTATTACATCATAAAAATATTGCAAATTATAGTCAGAATACATTTTATGTCTAAGCTTCTTGTTTATACAATAATACGCATGAAGTCTTGGCGACTGTGTGAACGTCTCTTGATCCCTTTTAATGTTGTCTAAATCTGTTTAGGTTCTAGGTTTAGAAGCTCTCTTACCTGGAGGAGGCTCATTCTGTGGATTTTCATCATCTGAGTCTGCAAACACTTCAGCCAGTTCCTGGTCAGACATATCTGTGAGTTCCGTCAGGTCCAAGAGGTCAAAATGGACTTCAAGTGAAGATACACTGCTTAGGGGTTCTGTAGATGGAGGACAAATAGCAGACCTTTTGAAAAACTCCAATGTTAGGAAAAAATAAACTGCAAAGAGAAGGGCTGTAGATCCTTCCCATCTGTCAATAAACTAATTTTTTTTAATGTCCCTGATTCCTAGGAGTTGTGGTTTGCTAGGGACATGGGGAAACCCGTTAGAGTGGCTCTAGGATGTGAACAGAATGTTTAGATCTTTCATATCGAGATACACCAGAACAAATGGTGTAGAGGTGATAACCAAGGTTTCGGTTACTTACGTCTCCTTTCTGTGACCTGCAAGAGTCCAGAGGTAGGTACCAGGGCTCCTGACTCCTCTTCGACTGTCACGGATTGTTGAGGTTCTTGAACAGTTACCTCGGCCGGGGCCGCAGGATGGGAGCTGCTAATACTCCCGCCATCTCTGCTCTGCTCTGGACACACTCAGAGAAAGGAGAATTAGTTTTTTATAAGAATGTGAAAGAGAACATGGTCTGTAAAGTACAGTGTGAATTGGACAAATCTGGACTCAAAGCAACATTTCATGACCCCATTCCGACTCCACTTCTTGACCCATTGGAACCAATTACCCTCTACTTGGACTTAAAAACATGTCCTCCTCTAGTTTCTGACAGTAAACATATAATCACACACTGAAAACACCTGAGATCCACACATCACATTGAGTATTCATCCCTTAAAGGGACACATTAGTGTTAGGTATTCAAACACTATAGTCCTGAACTGGCTGTTTAGGTGATCGATGTGAAAAGGTATTTCACCTTTTCTCCCTTGTAGCGGCCGTCCCCGTCTCCATGGCTGAGATCATCAATCTTGACGATCTTAGCCAATCCAAAACTTTCTATTAGGAAAGCATTGGGAGGCTATTGCGCATGCGCAGCAAAAAGCCGTTCTGTGCCAATCAGCATCTCCTCCTAAAGATGCATGAATCAATGCATGTCTATGGGAACGTTCAGAGTCTGCATGCAGAGCGGAGAGTCGCTGGATGTAGGTGCTGCACAATGAGATAGGAAGCACCTCTAGTGGCTGTGTGAGTAACTGTCACTGACGGTGTAACTAAGCAGCAATGAAGACACTGCCGTTTCTAAGAAATTGATCATCGTTACCATTTATATTTGAGGTGTAGTTCACCCCTCTAGTAACATGAACCGCATTCCACTGAGAACCCCAATTCTGAGACTCTACATTCTGTCTTGTATTTTTATAGCTAATGTTATAACATGGTTTATAGCTATACAATGAGATGTATGAAAAGTTTCCACAAGGAAAATATCCCATATAAAAATGTTTGTAGTAAATTATATTTTTTACTTTTAGGTGTGTTGTTTATTTTTATTTTTTTTTGGCTGCGTTTCCATCCGTCCTCTGACTCTACCGACAGGCGCCAATGAACCTTTACTGAAAATAAAAGATCTGGTTCTGAGTTTACTCAGCTCTGTCTATACAACAACATATGTTAAAGTAAAACCCTTTCTTGTAGCCTCTTTATCAAAGCACAACCAGTGACCGTTAAACATAAAATAATGCATTTTGTACTGTTCTGGCACTTTATTTACTGCACACTTGGGTTCCTATATTACCCCTGTGCCTATAACACACAGCCTCAACCTATAGCCAGCAGCCACTCGAGACCAATATAATGTGATGTGAATAGACCTCTCACTTTAACACTTTGTGTCTCACTCCGTTACTGACTCCATTATCAGCTCTAACAGTGCTTCCCAATGCAGTCTGATATAGTGATATTCCTTATTACTATAACACACAATCCTATTAGAGAATTGGGAAATGTCTAAATCCTGGACTGTTGGAGGGCCTTGAGGAAAGGGCTGATCTAAAAATGATCAGAATATATTCTGCAAACCCGTCAATGCTGGTTTTCCACTTATTTCCCAGATGTACATGAATACATATCTTGAAATCTGGTGTGAAACTAAGAAAATCTTTTTCTATATTTATAAACGGTTCATTTCTTCTATTCTGCCATTTGGACTGTAAGCTCTGATGGTTATTGGATTTCAGTGCGATACAAAATCCAATGTTCTTCCAATACTGTCCTCCCCAAAAATTACCCGTATACCTACCCTGACCCCATCTTGCTCCGCGTGGCACAGAACGCAGATGTGTGCATGTAATGGCACCATTGCCATGGCTGACTCTTCCTCTGTCTTACACGCCACGTGACTCTCCCTGGGGACCCTGTGCCTCAGTCACCTCCTTAATTAGGATGCTTTTCACACAGCACGGTGACTGATGTAATCGGCATGTGGCACAGAGTGCTGTATATTGTGTTTATTGTGCTTTACTGGCTCACCCTATAGATGCCATGTATGTGAGGATTATATAATAATCCTGGGGGAATGTGATAATGGAACACATGGTTAATACACCCCCACCCCAGCTCAGCGGACGCTAACAGAGCTGCTCTGGGGATTAGAGGGGATGGATTAGACTGCTTTACAAACTTACACTGAGTGCCTCCCAGCTTTATATCTGTCTGAATGTCACAATCCCAGAATCCGAGTGTCGCTGTCACCCAGAGACCACAAATCTGAGCAAATTACCATTCCAGTGCCCCCCCAACCAGAACAAGGGAATATCACCTAAACTAGTTCCCAGTTATTTATCTTTGGGACCCCCGGCTAGAAAACATGGAACTCAGGGACCACCGACTGTCTAACTGTAACGTTCTCAGCCTTCATGGCCCCCGACCATCTGTAACTTACAGGCTTCCAAGCACCCCCCCATTTCTCACCGACAACTATTTACCTTTCTTCTTCTTTATTGCTTATGATTATTATTTATTTTTCCCCACAATTTATTCTTGGCTTCTTTTTTTCCTTTGGAAAATTGATAAAAAATGTTAATAAACTCAGCTAAAAGCCAAACAAAAGGATAGAACAAAGAGGGTTGGGCATGACTGTGGTTATCTAGGGAGGGGGTCCATCTGTTACCATCATGAGGGACCTGTCAGGTTAGGGGGCCCTATTAAAATGACTGGCAATAGCCATAGTCCAAGCCTGTACATGTACACCCACCCCAGGGGCCCCGCCAGACGGTACACATTGCGCTGACCCCCTCAATTTCTGATGGAGTGCGGACACACCATGGGAGATCTAATGAGTGGAACATGTCCTCATTAGGAGCCAGTAAAGCTTAATAAACTGGAGGTTTTAATTACAATAAAGCTCCTGGGATTCACATTTGTGCCAGAATAATAAGGGTTGGACTGACTTACAGATAATTCAACGTATGGAGGGGAGGGGGAACATGTCCAACTTAACCCCTGCTCCCACATACAAGGGAACCCCTATTATTGTAGAACTACAACTCCCATGATGCTTTGCCTGTGTTGCTCAGTAAGAGATGCTACTGTCCCATAGTCCAGTGTGTAATGCGGCACTGCCAGCTGCAAAGTGAGCACAGTCTCTGCAACTTCACCACACCTTGCCACATGCACTGCGCCCTGCATACAGATGGCATGTCTTACCTGGGCGTGCAGGCCCTGGCTGTAGCTCCATCCAGACAGGGGACCAAGAGAGCATCAGATCCAGCCTCCTCCTTGGCACAGGCAGCAGCCAGCAGACATCCCCAGCTCAGAGCTCTGTGATATGTGAGCTGTGCATGGAAATGAGCAGACAGAGGGGAGGGATGCTCAGTGTCACATCTCTGAGTGTGGGAGATGCTGGCTGAGAGCCCAGATTAAAGCAGGGAGGGAGGGAGGGAGGGATGCTGCTCATTGCTAAGGGTTCTGCACACATTACATAGGTACCAACAGGAATCCTGGCTCAAAGTTCTAAAACTGGAGCAATCGCCATGGAAACCAATGGAATCTTCCTGCTGATTGCTCGTTACATATTGTTATAGAATGCAGAGTTACTGTTTGTTTCACATTTACAAAGCTTTCTCTCAAAACTTTTTTTAAAAAAAAATTTCATTGAATTTTCAAACCATGTGTCAAGATTCGGAAACCTATTGTAGGAGTTATAGATAATATAAATATAAATGTTTTTGCAGTATTGTTTTTAATAAGTAATCCGTTACAACATGTAATGGAGATAAATACAAAAAAACATGTCCTGCGCTCAAACTCCCATTACTCTTGGGCGGCAGCAACGACCATAGTACACATCAGCCCCAATACATACAGTAACCCTACACACAATACATACAGTAACTGTACACACGATACATACAGTAACCATACACATGATACATACAGTAACCGTACACACAATACATACAGTAACTCTACACACAATACATACAGTAACCGTACACACAATACATACAGTTACTCTACACACAATACATACAGTAACCCTACACACAATACATTCAGTAACTCTACACACAATACATACAGTAACCGTACACACAATACATACAGTAACTGTACACACAATACAGTAACCCTACACACAATACATACAGTTACTCTACACACAATACATACAGTAACCCTACACACAATACATTCAGTAACCCTACACACAATACATACAGTTACTGTACACACAATACATACAGTAACCCTACACACAATACATACAGTAACCCTACACACAATACATACAGTAACTCTACACACAATACATTCAGTTACTCTACACACAATACATACAGTAACTCTACACACAATACATACAGTTACTCTACACACAATACATACAGTAACTCTACACACAATACATTCAGTAACTCTACACACAATACATACAGTAACTGTACACACAATACATACAGTAACTCTACACACAATACATACAGTTACTGTACACACAATACATACAGTAACTGTACACACAATACATACAGTAACTCTACACACAATACATTCAGTAACCCTACACACAATACATACAGTAACTGTACACACAATACATACAGTTACTGTACACACAATACATTCAGTTACTGTACACACAATACCTACAGTTACTGTACACACAATACATACAGTAACCCTACACACAATACATACAGTAACCCTACACACAATACATACAGTAACCCTACACACAATACATACAGTTACTGTACACACAATACATACAGTTACTCTACACACAATACATACAGTTACTGTACACACAATACATACAGTTACTCTACACACAATACATTCAGTTACTGTACACACAATACATACAGTAACCCTACACACAATACATACAGTAACCCTACACACAATACATACAGTAACTGTACACACAATACATACAGTAACTCTACACACAATACATACAGTAACTGTACACACAATACATACAGTTACTGTACACACAATACATACAGTAACCCTACACACAATACATACAGTTACTGTACACACAATACATACAGTAACTGTACACACAATACATACAGTTACTGTACACACAATACATCCAGTAACTGTACACACAATACATACAGTTACTGTACACACAATACATACAGTAACTGTACACACAATACATACAGTTACTGTACACACAATACATACAGTAACCCTACACACAATACATACAGTTACTGTACACACAATACATACAGTAACCCTACACACAATACATACAGTAACTGTACACACAATACATACAGTAACTGTACACACAATACATACAGTTACTGTACACACAATACATACAGTAACTCTACACACAATACATTCAGTAACCCTACACACAATACATACAGTAACTGTACACACAATACATACAGTAACTCTACACACAATACATTCAGTTACTGTACACACAATACATACAGTAACTGTATGTATTGGGGCTGATGTGTACTATGGTCGTTGCTGCTGCCAAGAGTAGTGGGAGTTTGAGCGCAAGACTTGTTTTTTTGTATTCACTTTTGTATCACACAGCTATGTTACAATCCTGCTGCCCATCCCATGTGGTCCTTATTAGGGGTTAAAGGACCACTATAGGCAGCCAGACTACTTCAGCATAATGAAGTGGTCTGGGTGCCTGGTCCAGCTAGGTTGAACCCTTTTTTTTATAAACATAGCCGTTTCAGAGAAACTACTATGTTTATAATATGGTTAATCCAGCCTCTAGTGGCTGTCTCTTGACAGCTGCTAGAGGCGCTTGCGTGCTTCTCACTGTGAAAATCAGTGAGAAGATGCCAGCGTCCATAGGAAAGCATTGTAAATGCTTTCCTATGAACTGGCTGAACATGCACGGCTCCTGCCGCACATGCGTATTCAGCCGATGACGTCGCTATGGAGGAGGAGGAGGAGAGCTCCCCGCCTGGCGCTGGAGAAAGGTAAGATTTTAACCCCTTCCTCTCCCCAGAGCCTGGCGGAAGGGGGACCCTGAGGGTGGGGGCACCCTCAGGGCACTGTAGTGCCAGGAAAACCAGTATGTTTTCCTGGTACTATATTGGTCCTTTAATAAATATGTAGGGGTGTATTTAAAAAAAAAAAAAAAAAACCCTTTCTGTCTCAGAGATATCTTTGCCAGAAGCTCAAGGAAGCAAGGTGAAAGGTTAGTGTAGGACCCACCTGAGAGGTTTGCCTTGACGTGGCAGGTGGGCTAAACTCTCATGGCCATTAGAGAAAGTAAATAACCTCCATTTGTTTAAATATACATAGGCATTTGGGAAGAGCACAGGTAACTTTAATTTAATGGAGATAATTTCAGTTCAGTGAAACCTATAACAAACACACTTTATGAAAGTAACACATTATCAAATACAATGCTCAGTGATGCAAAGTAATTACAAAACATTGCTGTGGAAATACAGCGACAGGATACAAAATAAAATTGGATGAACTCCCTCCTAGAGGTCCTAGAGCTGTGTGCCTATAGCCAAAACCAAAGCAAATTAATATTAGCTGGGAGATGTTCTGAACCCTCTCTATATCCACTGGTCCGGCGTCGCTGGTTGCAAACGCCATGTCTCCGTACATTCCAGGAGTTTGGAAGGTGGGTTACATGCCCAGAATAGCCACCTCTGTTCCAGAATGGCCGGCTCTGTATAGCTTCAAAGCATCCAGCCAGTGAGTCCACCGGCTGTTAGTTACCACATTGCCTGCACTGCATATTGGGTACATTAGTTGCACCGTGGCAGAGCAGGGAGGAACTCCGATACTTGCAATAGAGAATCTTTTTATTAAGTTCTAGATCCAATGTAAGCGTAATATAGTACTATATATTATATCGCATTATAAACGGGATTATTCACTAATCTATGAATTGGCGAGAAAGTTAATTTTTAGTCAAAAAGATCCAAATTTGAGATATTCTCCAAATATGCTAAGTGTTTGGCTATTTTCGTTTAATATGTAAAACTGAAATCCTTCGTATTCCCTATTTGCATTTTAGTAACCCTGTAAGGCGCGCTGTGCAAAAGCCTGTGCAGGGCAGGACGTACTCTAGTTAGTAAACCTATTGTTCTCGCGGGTTAGTGGGGACGGAGCTACAGCGGGTGTTTTCGCTGTAACATTACCCAGGAATTAAGACTGATGGATTTCAGAACACAGGACAAATTACTGGCGCTTGGCAGAGTTCTCCAAACCACAGCATTAACCACGTCACTGCCACTCGCAGTGAATGACAATTCTTATTCATAGCCCAGACTGTTATTAATAACAGCTCGTATTAATGTCTAGTCCGTCTGTTTTTACTTGGTTTCAGAAATTCTGTCATTTGGCCTTCCAGGCGATACATTTTTTTTGTTTTTGTGCAAATCTCAGTAGCTTTTGTTGCATTTATTTCACAGCGCGACAACAAACCTACTGTTGGCCTGCTAACCTGTACCCATCCCCACTGTGGTGGAATCTCGGTAAAAATAAATTTAGTAGGCCGAGATTACCACGTGGCATGTGTACGTGCATATGCTGACGTATCGATCAGTTGGTTGCACGAGGCAAGATACGATCAGTAGTGTACGGAGCATGTGCAAGAATACAGGATGTAGTATTCCCCTCCTCCATTGTGCTGGACAAGCCATGCGGTCAAGCAGGAAGTTAATTCTTATTTGTAATGATTGGTCAAGAGAATGTGCGGGTGGAGCTTAATATGGGAGGAGTTATGTGCCTATATAGGGAGCCTGCACTATTGTTCAGGGCTCAGAACTTGCTGTATTTTTGGTGACATTAGTCCCTCTGAGTCCCGATCGGTGATCCAATAAAGAATCTCTTCCTTCCTGAAGAAACCTGTGTCCATCCCTCTGTGCTTTGCTTCCGTCAGTTTCTCCGGTATCATTTGGTGCATTGGCCGGGAAGCTCATCGTTCAACGGTAGCTGAGAGGCAGAGGCGTGAGACGGTCTATCTTTGCCCACGTTCTCTACGGCTGCACCCCTGAACTTCTGCGTGGACCTCCCTTCGTCTCGGCGCCACTGGTCTGTTGTCCAGGAGATCATCGGCCTCTACGTAAGAAGTGCTGGGGTGTCCCCGTCGATGAGTGTGAACTCAGGTTCAGGAACGAGGAGGTAAGACAACTGCTGTTTTAGACGGCAGACCCACTAGGGGTATACCGATTGTGCGGTAGGCCCAAAAGGGGTTTAAATCTGTGTATGGAATCTGCCCCCTCTGTCGGAGGG